TCCTGCCTTCCCGAGAGTCACCCAGGAGTTGCTTTTCTCTGCTTTGATCTGTTTATTAAATCTGGATTCATTAATTCTGTTTGATTTGGCTTATTGTATTGTGGAGGATACCCAATAACCAGAGACACAATACTTACCAACCCTATCTCAAAATAAAAAGTTAAATGATGTCTACAGATACTGCCCAGTGGTAGAGCTCTCGCCTAGCATGAGTAAGAATTCAGTCTCCATTATTGGGGTAGGGAATGAGATTTGCTTCTTCACATCCTCTGCTTATTCCAGTAAGTTCCCAGAACAGGAAACAAGCAAAGACCCAGGAAGCCTGAAAGGTAGGCTGATCCTGGTTGTCAGCTCTGAGCAATGTTAATGGGAAGAAATCCAAACACCATGAATTCTACCAATACAAAGACAATGGGAACAACCTGTCCCCACCTACTATGAGGTCTATTGATTACTTCATTACTTAATCATTAATTGGTAGGGTTTTCCTTTGTAAAAGAGTACATGCAGAGTCAGAAAACCATTTTGTAGGGTGGGATATTTTTTGATGTTGATGCGGTTTGTTAAACTCTTAACTGAGTCCAGCCTTGGTCCTAAAGGTCATTTTCAATGACCAAGGATTTTTGTCAGTGTTGTGCCAGGACGTGATGCTAACAACCACCTTCCACCCCAACCCTTAAGTCAAGAATGATCCCTACTTTTTTTATCTAGAACTTGTAGCCTGGTAGGAAAATGGACAATTCATTTATGTTTTTAAATAATCTACATGTGGACTCCACTCACTCAAGTTTTTTATGTACTTCAAAGGGAGCTTACCACATAGTTTTCCATACTTATGAACACTCTGGTGATAGCTTTGATTTGGGATCTTCCTAGGCTCAGTTATCTTTAATGAACTCTTGTTTCGCCAGGAAGGCTCTATTTCTTAGAATAGTAATAGGACTGGAAGGAGATCGCTGTAATAACCCTGCCCTGCCTTTAGTTCTTCAATTTTAGCAGAATGGGTTTCTGAAGTATACCACTGTTACAAGTATAAGGTCAGACAGATTGGTAGAGCAGATTAGGGAGTCCAGATGCAGATCCACACTTATATAGCTAAGGGGTAGAGCAGAGGGTGTGACTGGTGATTCAGTAGCCTAAACCTGGTCTTCTCAGCATGGTGCTGAGGTAATCAGATGCCTTTGGGGCAAGGACTTATATATCAAAACATAGGCAAAAATTAGTTCAAGATTAAACAAAAACCTACTTGGAGAGAACATACATACAAAGATTATGGAAGAGAAGAAGGCCCAGGTTTATTGACAAGACTCAAAAAATGCAAAGCATGGGCCAGGTGTGATGGGCACACCTTTAATCACAGTGCTTGAGAGGCAGAGGCAAGTGGGTATCTATGAGTCAAAGCCAGCCTGGTCTACATAGTGAGTTCCAGGACAGCCAGGGCTACATAGTGAGACCCTGTCTCAAATCACAAAAACAAGTTGGGTTGTGATGGAAACATGCCTTTAATCTCAGCCCTTGAGAGGCAGAGGTAGGTGGGTCTCTGTGAGTTCAAGGCCAGCCTAGTCTATAGAAAGAGTTCTAGGACAGCCAAGGCTACACAGAGAAACCATGTTAAACAAAAACAAAGAAAATCTTGCTATAGGAAATCATCTTAAAATTAAGCTCAGGCATGGAGCCCCTGCTTGTAATAACACTCAAAAGGCCAAGGCACAAGAATAATGCATTCCAGGCCAACCTGGGCTACATAAGGGAGAGTGTGTCTTTAAAAAAAAAAAAAAAAAAAAAAAAAACAAGATTAAAAACAACTCCTTGTAGACTGTGAGTGAGATCTATGGCCTGTCTGCTAGGCCCCAAACAGAAGACGGGCACAGGCATTGTCCCTCCTCCTAATGGAAGCTGGTGTTCCCAGCAGTGACTCTGAGAAGGTGGATGCAGGTTGTGGAACTGGAACTGGATCCTCACATCAGAACCATTCCTGTGAGGCTTTGCTGCAGGAGCAGCAGCTTTCCCAGTCCCGCAGGCTCCTCGAAGCCTGGTGTACCTGTATATTCTTCCCAGAACAACCTCCTCAGATCCTTTGATCTTAGCCTGTGTGGAAGGGACAGAGCAGCAGGGGGCGCTCACAGTGGTGGGAGAAAGGAGTTCAAAGGCCAGCCAGATCCGGTTATGTGGCGTCCAAGCCTTGGGGTTTCAGAAGCCCAGAGGAAGCCAGGGAGAGGGTGAGTCCCACTTTCCATAACTGGGCATTCAGACTAGGAAATGTCTGAGACAAGGCCAGAAACATACATATAAACACAGCCAAGCACTGTTGCCCATGTCCCCCTTTGCTACAAAAAAGCCACTACTGCCAACCAAGGTGTATACTTCCTACTGGTTTCCACGATTTGTAGAGAAGGAAACATGAAATATATTGGGAGCTTTCAAAACTGCCATTGTTTGGCACATTTTTTTAATTTATTAATTTTTTTTTTTTTTTTTTTTTACATTCCAATCTCAGTAGTCCCTCCCTCGTCTTGTTTGGCACATGCTTACAAAGGGAGAAATAATTTAAATATATATATATATATATATATATATATATATATATATATCTCAAGAGATTTAAAAAAAAAAAGTGTCTAATCCTTGAGTGGAAAAATCTTGCATGCTTGGGTCATTTCCTTGCTGTTTCAGGACATTAGTATGTACTGGAAATACACATTGGAAGGGGAGACTCCATGTCCTGTGAGCGATGATTGTGCAAGAAATCTTTCCAGACCAAAAGGGGAAGGTTGTGCTTTTCCCAGGGTCCCCAGTACAAGATGACCCTGTAGTTAGATGTTTAACTAGGCTTGAAGACCCTGGACAGAGGGAATAATTAACTTACTCATTCCAGAAATATGGCAAAACATCCAGAAAGACAGAGTCTAGCTCTACACCAGTGTAGTGTCCCTCTGTGGGAACCCAGGCTCCCAGCAGCATGTCCCCTCCATGAATCACTGTCCCAAGTCTCTCAAAGGGCCCTGGTGGCTAAAATCTGGCATTTGGGATTAGTAGATGGGAAATAGAGATGGCTCTGTGGCCAAGTGCCCTACACAAGCATGAAGACCCAAATTGAGATCTCTGTCACCCATAAGTCAAATGTTGTGATGTGCAGCTGTTAACAGCAGCTGGTCAGAGACTGACAGACAGATCCTCAGAGCTCACTGGCCAACAAGGCTTCAAGATCACTGAAATAAGGGCCAGAGAGATGGTTCAGCCATTAGAGCACTGATTATTCTTCCAGAAGACCCAAGTTCAATTCCCAGCACCCATGTGGCATCTCATAACTGTCTGTAATTCCAGTTCCAAGAGACCCAACACCCATGGCAAAAAACACCATTGCATATAAAATAAAATGTTAAAAAAATAAATAAATAAGGTGGAAAACAACAGAGGAAGACACTCAAAGTCCACCTCTACCTTGTGTGGGCACATACACACCACCCTAAATAAATAAATAAATAAATAAATAAATAAATGTAATTTTTAAAATTAAAATTTTAAAGCAATTTAATTAAGGGTTAAGTGTGCAAGCCTTTCCTGCTGCAGTGTTGGGGAGCCACTCCCCCAGGAAGGAGCAGTAATCGAGGCCACGGTTCTTTCCCTATCTGTTGACTTCAGAAGTGGGAGTTTGAGGGCCAAACCAGAAATCAGATAAGTGCGAGTTTGCTTGTATGGGTGCCAGAGAGACTGTGGAGAATTGCAGTCCTCATGATTCTTGTTTACACTTTAGTCCGTTTCTCCCATTGGTTAAAGCAGGAATCAGCAAATTCCTCCCAGATTGCCAATATTTAGGCCACACAGTCTGGAATACAAACCACTTGAACCTGCCTGGGTGACATAAAAGCAGCTAGAGACACTCTGGACAAGTGGATGAGGCTGTTCCGGTAACATTCATGAACATTTAATGAGAATTTCTTCCAGTTTTGACACATCCATGAAGCAGTATTCTTCTTGTAATGTTTCCCAAACATTTGAACTGATTATTCTCTGCTTGGAGGCCATGCAGATATAACTAGGAAACCAAATTTGGCTCATGGGCCATAGTTTACCAACTCCAGGAACAGAGAGCCTTAGAAGCTTACAGCAAAGGATGCCCTCCATGGGTTGATCCTGAGAAGGGCCTTTTTACTGACAGGAGCTGGGGTAGAAAGGATAAGTACTGCAGTCTGGAACTGGGAGGATGGGGAGACATCACCTGGCCTCTTGTGGCTGGCCCTGACCTGCTCACTCTTTTGAGCACATACCAGGAGAGGTGCGGTTCTCTTTAACAATGCTCCCTGCTGGGAACCCAGGCGCTGAGAACCGAGGAATTGGTCCCCTCCTGCCCTCTCTTTGGGAGCATTGTCTCAACAGAAGGCAACCACTCTTTTGAGCATCTGACTTCTCCACTTGCACCAGGACCCTCTCATCACCTTCCTTGCCCCCCCCCCTCCTCCCAGGACCCTTCTGTACCTCCCAGTTTCCAGGACAGACAGCCCCCTGAATCTTACAAACAGAAGACTGCCTGGGTGCTCTCTGCATTTTCAAAGGGCCTCTTAGATTTATTTTCTTTTGTTATACAAAGAGTAGTTGTTTGTTAGTACTGTCCTTCGAGCAAAGATGCTGGTAAACAAAGGAAGGGAAACACTAAGCATTTCAGAACTGAAATTTCAGTGTTAATGGAAAAATCCCAGCTAATGCAAAACAGCTGGCAAAATAAAACTCGTTTAAGCTCTGCTGGGGAAAAGAAGACAATTTTGTTAGTAACAGATTTTTCTTACTAATTGTGTTTGTTGTTGTGTTCGCTGGTTTGCCTATTTCAATCTTGCATTCCCTAAGAAGAGTGTAATGTCACACTGGCGACAGGAAGAAGCCTGCTAGTCTGGCCTTGGAGATGCACTTCAGATAATCTGCAGAGAGGGAGGGAGACTGTCCTAGGAGACTGACTGAGGCTGAGCTGCTAAAAGATGAACTTCGCTTTCTGGCTTCTCTTGTAGGTCCTTCCATAGTGACACCCCCCAAGGACATCTGGAATATCACTGGTGCTAAAGTATACTTGAGCTGTGAAGTCATCGGAATCCCAACCCCTGTCCTCATCTGGAACAAGGTCAGTAGTTCAGGCTTTAATCCCAGCACTTGGGAGGCAGAGGCAGGTGGATCTCTGTGAGCTCAAGGCCAGCCTGGTCTACAGAGAGAGTTCCAGGACAACCAGAGAGGTTACACAGAGAAACCTTGTCAAGAAAAAAAAAATGTCTCCTCACATTGCCAAATGCCCTGTGAGGGAAAAGCATCACCTCAGAATGAAAACCACTGCCATAAGCCCTGGCTCGTTCTTCTGTGAGTTTTGTTTTTGAGACAGGACCTCATATACAGCCCACACTGGCCTCAGCTTTACTGTATACCTGGTGATGATCTTGAACTCCTGAACCAACCTCATACATCATTTCCCAAGTGCTTAGATTATAGGCATTCACCACCACCCCCAGGTAAAGGTAAAAATTAAGTAATCAAGGTCTATAAAGAGCCAGGCAGTTAAGAGCACATCCTCTTGCAGAGGATCTAGGTTCTGTCCCCAGCGCCTAACTGGTGGATCACAACCATTCGTAACTCCAGTTTCAGTGGATCTGACACCCTCTTCTGAACTCCACTAGCACAAGCCATACACATGTTGTACATTCATACCTGCAGACAAAACACTCATAAATACATACATACATACATACATACATACATACATACATACATACACCCTATAAAAAGAGATTAAAATAAATCAGGTAAATGAGACATGGCACTCAATGGCTACTCCTTCTGGAAGGCCTGCCCTTCCAAAAAGCTTTGTTTTTGTGTGATGACCTTCACGTCTGAAGGTCAACATACCTTAGCCTGTCAGAAGGAAAAAGAAAACCAATTTTCCAGATTAAAATTTAAAAATAAACAAAACTCACAGTTAGATCATGCATTTATATTTTTGTCCCTTTTGTACATCTTAAGTCCTTTCACCTCATACCAAGTCTATGAAGAAAAATCTTCAAACTTGTGCTAAAAAGGGGAATTTAGTTTAAGCAAAACAGCAAAGCCAGACCCCGCCCCCTCCCTTTTAGCCTGTGTCTTCAGAGAGTTCAAAACTGAATAATAGTCTCAGTTATTTTGTGTGTCTGTTGTTTGGTCAGAGGGGCGACTTCTGGGTCTCTGGGAGGGGTTTTGGCCCTATCATCTGAAGTATCTCTGTAACAGGTTGTAGAATTCAGTTCATATAACTGAGGGACAAAAATAAAGAGAAAAAAAATAAGGCAATTTCAGCTTCTGAACATCCAAATGGGATCAGGACTGGAATTCTTGATCTTTCTCAATCTGTGGGCCTCACTTTCTCCTTAGAAAGCATCCCCGCCACCCCCACCCATGCAATGGGCGGAGTTCTCATCAGTTTAAAGACCTCAGAGGCGGGAAAGCTTCCCCAAATGCAGGGTACGAAGCCTTAGACCATATCAGGACTCCTGGCAGCCTCTGGCGCCCCCATGTGGCCAGAGGGATGCGGCCACTTGGAAACCACTGGGCTTGAGTGTAGTTACCAGGAAAGGCCTGGACCACGGTTTAGGTGCAGAGGTGACCCAGTTCCAGTACAGGCTGATGACCTAGTTCTAGTACAGCCCTCCATCACAGCTGAAACTTCCGTTAAAAGGAATAATGGGATTTTGCGTCTGTGAATTGTGGTTTGGAAAGAGATGTGTAGGGTCAGCAAGGCAGCAATGTGGTCGGGAGAATGTGTTCATCTAGGCCTTTCCCCCCCTCGAAGTTGAAGCTCCCCGTGCCTACTTGAGGTCAGGGACTTGGGAGGACAGGAGGATGGCCGACAGCTTCCAAATGAAACTGCTAAGAGGTTCTGTTGTTTCCCTATGGGCCCCCAAGGGATTTATCAAATGAGAGAGGCCGGGGTGACTTGAAAGCTCTAAGTATAGCCTTGTTGCCAAATTTTGCCGAGAGTTAGGTCTCCCTTCAGTCCTGGCTCTGTAGCCCCCCAGCAAAGCACACACCATTCCAGGGGAATGAGCCTTGGGAGACTGTGGAGTCTTAGTGCCTGCAGGTCCTCCTAGGACCACCCATCATTGATGTGGGGAGCTGGGGGTTGGAGAGAGGGAACTGGAAAAAAAAAGGTTTTCAGTTCTTGGGTTTATTTATTGTTTATTTTTGCGATGCTGGGGGTTGAATTGCATGTGCTAGGCAAGGACTCTAAGCTACATCCTCTGTGGTAGGAACCATAGTCAATTGGAAGAGTGCAGATCCCCTGGATGACATAAACAGGACATGGTATCACATGGTTTGTAATCCTAGCTCTTAAGGGCTAAAGGCAGAAAGATCATCAGAAGTCATCTATTTAACAAGTTTAAGGCTAGCCTGGGCTCATGAGATCATGTCTTAAAAAAAATAAATAAAAAGTGTCTTTGGTAACTAGCAAGAAGCAAACACCTGAGTGGGATACTCCTGGGTGGGATGCTTCTGGGCGGGATGCTCTTGAGTGAGTTGCTCCTGAGTGGGATGCTCCATGGTTTTCCTCTACCTTTGCAATGCACTGTGTCTCACACATGACCTAAAGCAATGGGCTTCAAACAACAGCACACAACCCATCAAGGAGACCTGAAACACTAACAGTGTTCTCACAGGAAAAAAAAAAAAAAAAAACTAGAACTCAAAATGTGTCAAAGTGTGTCAAAGTATCTTGTTCACTACATACTAAGGTATCATGTAACAGTTTCATATATCATATGTATGAATATAATCCCAACACACTTTAAAAAGCATTGCTTTGTTTGAGCCATGGCAAACTATCTGAAATTCAGACAGTTACATAGACCAGTTATTTCCTCTCCACACTCCTGCAACCAGACTGTTAGGAATACAGATGTATTTCAGATCATATGCTGTTTCAAATCTGCTTGGAGTACAGAAACAGGGTTTGGATGAAAGACATTATTAGGGGCTGGATGAGTGTGGTGGCAAAAGCCTAATCCCAACAGTCTAGGCAGAAACAGTAGGCTGAGAATGCAAGCATTGTGGGCTTGATATCAGTCTGGCCTCAGCATCCACATCAGGCAGCTCACAACTGCCTCTGCCTCCAACTCTGAGAGATCTAAAGCCCTCTTCTGGCCTCTGAGGGTACCCAGACTCACATGTATGTTGTATGTTAATGAAATTTAAAATAAAATAATAGTGCTAACAAGAAAAGAATTCTGTAGTCATTGGCACGTCTTAAAACTTGCTCCTTATTTACAATCACAAGATTCTAGAAGAATCTGTTGCAACCAAACTACATTCAGAGTCAGGTGTCATGGAGTATGTACTGGGGAGAATGAGACAGGAGGATGGTTTTGAAGCCAATTTGAGCTGTGTATCAAGAGATCCTGCAAAATAGATTAAAATAAAACAGCTAGATGCCTAAATGACTTAATGGTCTCCCTCTGATTCTCCCACCACCCCCCCCCAGTTAACCAGTTGTGGATAACAGGATTTTTGTAAGATTCTTTTATCATTGAACCCCTCCCCCAGGGGGGGGGTGCAAAGGGTGACATCATTGTCTCCCTCAATTGATCTCCCTTTTGATCTAGAACTTACTGTGAGCTAAACTGGATAGGCAGCTAGGCGCAGGGACCTTCCAGTTTCTGCCTACCCTGTACTAAGATTGGAGGCTTCAGTGATAAAACACCTCTCCCCAAATATTACCTATTTTATTCACCAGCTGCTTGGGGAATTCAAGGGGGAAAAATGTCTATTTATGCATGTCTTCTTGGCTTTCACTCGACATTAAATACCTTGTTTTCTCTCAGTATTTGGGGGAACATAGGGAGAAAGCCTATAAAGGATGGACATTCACTTTATTATAGAAAGGGAAGGAAACTTGTGACACTAAACGTCCTTCTCATTACAAAGACAATCAAAATAAACACTGGCTTGGCTCCTACAGAGGCCTTGATAGAATTAAAGAATGTTGCTTTGTATACTTTTGTTTTTTAATTCAGTTACAAGTCTTAAAATATTTATACTAAACCTGAGCTGCTAAATGCATTACCCCCAACCCCAGAAAAGGGACCTTTTCCTTGTGTCCTTTCCATATTTTCCAAAATTCTTATTAGCATAGTTTGACCTTTAAGATAGGTGGGAAAGGCCACAAACCAAGGGAAGTGAGTTTCCCCTTCACTCGCAGGCTTCTGAATCTCACTATGGTATGAACAGACAGGGAGGTTTTATCACAGCCACATCTGACAGGCATTTCTAACCCTCGGGTCTTCAGGAATTGTTTCATGATTCCTTAGCCCTCAGAGCAAGTGGTAGACCGCTCTGGACCCTAGCTGCTGCTTCTCTTTGATGAGGTTTCACAGGAAGAGCTCCCAAGGTCCCAAATATAACACTGGCACTGGGTGACAATTTGCCAGTCAAACATAGTGTGTAAGACAGAAAAAAAAAAAAAAAAAAAAAAAAAAAAAGGCCTAATACCAAGGAGCAAATTGTCCAGGGGCACTAGTGAGTGAAGACAGCCTGCACCCAGGTGACCTAGTATCCAGAAAAAGCTTAAAACATGATGCTTTAAGCATCATGTGTGGCTGGGCACTGGTGGTGCACACCTTTATGCCCAGCACTCAGGAGGCAGAGCAGGCGGATCTCTGAGTTCCAGGCCAGCCTGGTCTACAGAGTGAGTTCCAGAACAGCCAGGGCTATTACACAGAGAAACCCTGTCTTGAAAATTTTTTTAAAAAGGTCAGGTGTACACATCATTAATCCCAGCACTTGGGAGACAGACGCAGACATATTCCCCTGTTGTACGGCGTAGTGAGTTCCAGGCAGCCAAAGCTACATAGATAGTGAGACCATCTCAAAATAAAACAAAAAGCCACACTGCTAAGGTAAAACTGGCAGAAGAGACACCTGTTTCCTAACTTATTCTGGAAAGGAAAGGTCTGAGTAAACTGCTGGATTTAATCTAATTACAGTCAGGTGGGCACCTTGTACAATTCTAGGGATGTGGCATTTCCAACTTGTTTTTGCACCAAGAAGTAAGCCTCTCCTTCTGTTTTCTCAGGTAAAAAGGGACCACTCCGGAGTCCAAAGGACAGAACTCTTGCCTGGTGACCGGGAAAACCTGGCTATTCAGACTCGAGGTGGTCCAGAAAAGCATGAGGTGACTGGCTGGGTGCTGGTGAGTACTGAGAGCTAGCAACATTTTCATTCTCAGGAATGGACACAAGGACTTGGCAAAAGTCACCAGTCGCCTGCCCAAAACTATTTTTCTCCCATGTCTTTGGGGGGCATGGTGTTTCCAATACAAATATGGGAACTAATGGGGAAGCTGGTTACTTTTAGAAAAAAATTAGAATCAATTCAAAACAGAATTCTCACACAGAAGTAAATGAATGGCTCAAGCACTAATTATGGCTATTGGCTAGCAAGCATGTGATTTTACTTAACCTTTGATCCTGTGGGTATTATTTAGATCCTAGCACCCAGCAAGGCTTCCCATCCAGCAGGTATGTGCACTACCCAGATTTTAACTTTCAAGTTGTGATCAAAAGCCATCCATGACGTTTGGGTGGTAGCTCCATGGGCTCCAAGCACAGGACTTTATGGCTTCTCATAGCAGCTCTACTCCTAACCCTCTGTTCATGCTAGGGACCCTAGGTGTAATGGAAGCCACTGAAAAAGGGAGGAGACCGCCACAGAGAACCCAAGTGCCTTTATCTTTCACAGGTATCTCCTCTAAGTAAGGAAGATGCTGGAGAATACGAATGCCATGCATCCAACTCTCAAGGACAGGCTTCGGCATCAGCCAAAATCACAGTGGTTGATGCCTTACATGAAATACCAGTGAATAAAGGTATGTAAGTCATCTCTCCCTTTAAAAGTGTGGTTTTGCTTTATAGTCAAGTATCAAAATAGCATACATATCTATTAATCCAAAAAGGCATTAAGTATATGGAATTAAAGCAGGTCACATGCCTCCAAGAGAACATGTGGATGGCTAAGGGATACTATGACTTAGAAGCTTTTACCTTATATCACATAGGAGAATTAAAACTCAGACTTGACTGGGTGGCTTGTATGTCCTGTAGCTTTCTTTCTATGTGTCATTTTCCCTTGTGTTATGACTATCATATTCAATCTCCATTTAAAAGGAAGTGATCATTGTCAATTTAGTCCTTCACTTTGAGATTTTAAGGAAGAAAAAAAAAAGCTATACATGTACTGCAATTCCAGAGGACCCAAGTTCTGTTCCCAGTACCCATATGAGATGGCTCACATTGCCTGTAACTCCAGCTCTGGGGGATGTTGTTCTCTTCTGACCTCCATAGGCAGGCACCCACACACATATGACATGCATTCATATAATGCATTATACATAAATAAGAAATAAATCTTAAAAGAAAAAACTAGACAGGAGAACATGTTGGCAAATACTCAATTCTGTCCTATTTTATTGCTAACAAGCTTCCTCCAAAGAGTCCACCCTGCCTTGTCACTACAGTGCCACTTGACATGTAGAAAGCTCTACTGGGGTGCTGTCTTGACGAGGCATTCCCTTAGACCCAGAAGACAATTTACTGTCAACAGGGTTAATTGTTTCACTGGGCAGGTCACCCCACTGTGCACTGGAAGGAATTATCAAGGAACAGTGTATTTGGTCAGAACCCTTTCCGCCGAGAGTGTGGTGAACCCAGGCAGTGAAACAGCTGAGGGCCGGGTCACCTGTGGATGTGGCCGCTCTGGAGATTCGCCCTTCCATCTGAAGGGTTGTCTGAATGAACCGGACTGCAAAGTTCCTTCACCTCTGTGGATTTCAACTTGAGAAATATGCTTTTCCAAGTTTGTGGGAAAGGCCCCCCATTCACACATGACCAATACTGGCTCTCACTTAAAACCACATAGCTCACAGTCCACAGGGCACTCTGCATATCATTGTATAACTACTCACACATCCTTTGTTCCCATGCTTTGTTTTCCAGCCCCATCCCCTCAATGTATGGGTGTATAACTGTCTGTAATACATGCATGCAAGGCCCTCAAAGGCCAGAAGAGGGAATCAGATCCCTCAGGATGAGTTAAACAGTTGAGAACTGCCATGTCAGCACTGGGAATCGAACCCAAGTCATCAGGAAGAGCAGCCAATGCTCTTAACTGCAGAGCTACCTCTCTAGGTCCTTGTTTTTTTTTTCTTTTGAAGCATGAGGTCTCTGGCACATTCCTGTAATCCCAGCACTTGGGTGGCTAAGGCAAGAGAGTCACAAGTTCAAGATTTACCTGTGCTGCATAGTGAGACCCTTCTTTAAAGGAAAGGAGAGATGGGGATGAGAGAACAGGTTGCCCAGGCTAGTCTTTAACTCCTGGGTTTACATCCCTCCTGTCTCAGCATGAATACTGAAATACTGACTGGGTCTACAGGCACATTACCATGCCCCTGCCCATTAGCCATGTAATTTAACATTTTCATTGATTTAGAAACTGACAATCTCCATATGTCCATATACATAACTAATTTTTTTTTCTTTCTTCTTTAACAGGTCAAGGTGCTCAGCTATAAACCTGCAAAATACATTAGCCTACGTACCTAAAAGTGCTTACAGACAACTGACAACTATAACCCTGATTCTTGCTTGATGTTTCTTTTAGCCTAATCCACTAACACTTTATTACATTCAGCTGGTTTTACAAAGAGAAATCAAAGAAAACACATCAAGACTATCTACAAAAATTTATTGTTTATTTACAAAAAAGCATGCATAGCTTTAAACAAAACAAATAAAATTCTTACCACAACAGTAGTACATTTTGTCATTTTTTTAAAACAACAAACACAGAAACCAGAACTGATATTTACAGTGTCTGTTCTCGCTGTGAACTTCCAATAGAACTAAACACTCATCATTCGAGGTGCAATGCTCATGGACATAAGTTCCTGGAATAACAGTTTGCACGCATAAGGCATTCGCACCAAAGAAATCTGCAGAGAGAAAAGAAACCATAATCAGCAGAACTATATCAAAGATCCCACTTCCTACTGCACTTCAGGTGAGAGAGGCTATGTGCATCCATCCTATGCTTCAGTCTCTGTCCCGCCCGGCAGATTCTAGCAGTTCTTCCTTTCTGCCAACAAAAATATATTCACACTTCCTAACTGATGAATCTGAAATAAAGGGCAATCTGAAATAAAGGGCTTAAGAAAAACTCTTGTTGGGCTGAAGAGATGCTCAGCAGTTAAGAACACTGGCTGCTCTTCCAGGACTGAGGTTTGATTCCCAGCACCGACAGAGCGCAGCTCACAACCATCTGTAACTACAGTTGCAAGGGATCTGATGCCCTCTTCTGGTCTCTGGGGGCACTGCATGCACATAGTACATATACATTCAGGCAAAATACTCATAAGCGTATTTTAAAAACTGTACACAAGACCTTACTATTTCAGAGATGAATAGCTTAGACAAATTGCTTTTAAGCTTGTTTTAGAAAAGTTAAATTATCTTTCCTTGTAAAACTAGTAATCTTAGAGACCTGCTTTCAAAACTGAAAACCCCACCATACTCAATCTGCCATCACTACAGAGTAAGAGCATCTAAACAAACAGAACAAAGTGTGCACGCACCTGGGTTTTGTTTCTGCAGCCCCTGCACTCATATGTATGAGTTCTGGTGTTAGCAATTGCCATTATTCCACAAAGATTACAGACATGGACCTGATAGGGATCTGATGCCTCAAACAATCTTTCTCTTAAAAACTGTGCTGCACCATGGGCAATCTGACAATCTCGTTCCATTTCTCCAAAACGCAGGCCGCCATCACTATTAATAAGAAAACAAGAGTTTGCTTTGTACTTATTTATTTATTGTGTACATATGTAAATGCCAGTGTCTCTGCACGTGTGTGGAGGTCAGAGGACAAACTGCAGGAGTCAGTTCTTTTCTGGGAATTGAACTCACAAAGGCAGGCTTAGTAGCAAGTGTCTTTACCCACTGAGCCACCTCATTAACCTTGTACTGATCTTCTCTGATCAACACCCCTGTGATTAATGACAAGAGAGAAGTAATAGTAGCAGTACAGAAATAAGTTCTATTTCTATGCCCTAGCAATCTCTCTAACCTGGTGAGGAGGGGGAAAGTCAACCAAGCATTCAATATACATCAGAAGGTCTCCAAATGAAGTAGAGAGAAAATGTGCTCAAGTATAGCATACAATTTTCCTCATCAAATACAGTGCAGTACAAAGCAGGGGCTCATCATGGTATCATTTAACTCTCTAGAATTCTATACTTGAAAGTGAATTTTAAAAGACAATTTCAATAAAACAGCTTCTAAATAAAGGTTCCCCCAGAAATGGAGTCAGAAATGTTAAATGCACAGTGACAAACATAATGGAATAGGTGAGTGATTACAGGTTTCCCCAAGCATAGTGACATCCGTTCAATGGCCATACAAGTGTGTGATGGTGGCCTCCTTAATATAACACATGCATTGTGCACTCAAGAACTACTGAATAAAACCAATGCACTTATAATACTATTACTACAACAAAGGCTTGCTATTCTACTTTAAACAATGCTACATAATGAACTTACTATATTGAAAAGAGAGCATTTACCCTGCCTCTATTACAGGAACTACACCACCAGGCAACCAGCTGATGCAACAGCCAAAGTAGTGTCTGTTCGGCTAACAATAGGCGGACTCTCATCAGTTTGTACTCTCTAGTTCATCAAAGGCTTTACACAATGATCCATATGATTTTAGAAGTAAATAATGTCATAAAGTGTTACTACCCAAACCTCACACTCCAAGTCTCATCAAGCCTCCCAATATAATTACTTTGAGGGCAACTAAAGCCAAAGCCCCCTGAGATGGCTCAGTGGGTAAAGGTACATGCAGTTCAAATCCTGGAAACCACATGGTAGAAAGCAGCAAACTGACTCCAGCAAGCTGCCCTCTAACACCCACATGCACACACACACACACACACACACACACACACACACACACACACTGTAAAATTGAAAATAAGCAATATTTAAAAGGTACTTAAGAGGCACACAAATTGCAAACCATGCCTTTATTTGTATCCTGACCAAGAAAACTTTTTTAAAAATTATGCATATGGTCATGGTTCATACACCTTTAATCTCAGAACTCTGGGAAGCACGACATCCTGATCTACATATATCCAAGTCCCAAAACAAACAGGACCACAGAGAGAAACCCTGTCTCAAAATAAATAAATAAAATAACAAAAGGCAATATGGCAAACCTGCCCCCTGGTTATTTGGTAATATTTAGAAAGCAGTCTGGTAAGATTTTTTTCCCTGATGTGTATGTGTGAGTACCCTACATCTGTATATGAGCACCACCTATGTGCCTGGTGCCCTCAGAGACTACAGGAGGAAACCAGAGTTACAGGGGGCTTGAACCACCACATGGGTGCTATGAAGCAAATTCTGAGTCTTTGGACCTGTGTTACGTGCTCTTAACCACTGAACCATCTCTCAGCCCCAGCAGTGCTGGGAATCGAACCTAGGACCTTGCACATCAGTCAAGGAACCTACCACTAAGCTACATACAGCTCAGTAAACCAATGGTTTTGTATATTAATAGAAAAAAATCCACTGGTAAGGATTCAGGGGTTTTTGTTGTTGTTGTTGTTGTTGTTGTTTTTTGGTTTTGGATTTGTTTTGTTTTTTTGAGACAGGTTTCTCTGTATTGCTTTGGAGCCTGTCCTGGAACTTGCTCTGTAGACCAGGATGGCCTCGAACTCACAGAGATCCGCCTGCCTCTGTCTCCCAAGTGCTGAGATTAAAGGCATGTGCCACTAACGCCCGAAGCTTTTTCATTACAGCTACCCTTTAATAAAGTAAACTTGGTGGAGCTGGAGAGATGATGTCTCAACAGTTAAAAGCACCTGCTGCTCTTTCAGAGGCCTGGGTTCAGTTCCCTGCATTCACTTGCAGCTCAAAATCACCTGTAGCTGCAGTTCCAGAGGATCTGACAGTCTCTTCTGCCTCTGCTGTCACCAGGTATGCAGACAGTGCACATACATACATGCAGGCAAAACCCCCATACACTTTTAAAGGGGGAGGGGGAAGGATGTGGGAAGAGAGAAAGAGAAAAGGGAGGGAGGGAGGAAAGGAAAGAGAAAGGGAGGGAGGGATTTAGCTGGTATGTTCCTCATAGCCAGTATTCACATTATATGGGAGTAGGAGGCTGGGGCAAAGTTGCTGATGTTTGAGACCATTCTAAGCTACACACACACACACACACACACACACACACACACACACACACACACACACACGAACAAAGGAGAAAAAGTAAACTACAAATCACCAAGCACAATGGTGCAGACCTATAATCCTAGCACATAGGAAGCTGAGGCAGGAGGCTTCCATGAATTCAGAGCCAACCTGGCCTTCAGTGAATACCAGGCTGGAAACCTAGGATTATATAAAAAAGATACTGTCACATAAGAACAGAAACTTACAGCTTGTCAGACAGAATGGCATACCTCTGTAATCTCAGCACTCAGGAGGCTGAGCTTGGAGAGCCATGAATTCCACAAATGTAAATAAAGATTAAGAAAAAAATACTAGAGTAGCTCTTCATTGTAGTATAGCTTTAAAAAAATAGTATTCTTCTCTTTTCCAACCAGATAACTATCTATGTAACATCAGATCTCCCTCAAATACCTTAAAGTACTGGGCCAGAGAGACAGCTCAGTGGGTGAAGGTGCTTGCTGCCAAGCCTGACCACTGGAGTTCAATTCCCAGGACCCACATGGTAAAAGGAGAGAACCAAATTCCTACAGGCTGTCCTCTTACCTCCACACTCACATGGCTTACACACAGCTATGCACAAAATAAATAAATATAATAAAAGTATTTTTCTTAAATACAATATAGAGCTTGAGTGGTGGCACACACTCATAATCCCAACAGTTTGGAGGTGGAAGCAGGAAGATCCAGCCACAACTATGTCTCAGAGTTTGAGTCTAGCCTGTGCTATATGAGATGCTATCAAAAGAAAGAAATAGGATGAGGAGATAGGGAGGGAGGCAGGGTAGGGAGGGAACTAATTCAGAAGTAGAGGGGATCCAGCCACCTTCCAGTTCAGTAAAGAAATCTACAAAAACGTTAACCCAGTGTCACTCTTATCAGAACTTACTTAGAAATATACTGATTTTTCATTAAACATGTACTAGTATGTAATGGGTTTACCATTGTTTTTAAATAAACATTTTAAATTTCAGTCTAATCTCTACTGTGATAAGTATCAAAAGATATAACTCACATCAACAAAAGTTCTCTAAGTATCCAGAGATCAAAGATTTGATAGCCACTCTTACAGCAAATATAAAGCTTACAAAGGAAATTATATGACAACTGGATTTGCTGAACATAATCACAGATAAGCTGGGGTTCTGGCTCATTGCTACAGCACTTGCCTAAATGTTCAGGGCCCTGACTTTAAGGAAGAAAGAGAGGGAAAAGAACCACATCAGAGGCCAGTGTGAGGAAGGAGGGGTAGGCACAGAGTAACTAGACACCAAGAGTTGGTAACTATTAAAGTGAGGTGACAGGAACACAGGCAGTCATCATACCACTGACTACTTTTATACATGGTTAACATTCTCAAGTGAAAGTTTAGTTAAGCAATACACAATGGCAACAATGCAACTATCTTACCGAGATCTACCCTCCATGGGTTGTCTATTAAGGATCTGAATAGGTCCCCTAGCACGAGAATGAATTTTGTCATCCACCATATGCTTCAAACGCTGGTAGTAA